AGTGTAAACTTCCCAAAAAAGCAAGCTTGAAGATGTGAGGCACAGCACAAAGTCAGGGCACCTGGTGCGAGGAGTGCAGCACCAACACAGCTACTGGAGCACAGCAACTCTACACACACTGGAGGTTAAATCTTCACAGGTAATGCTGCTTCCCACAACTCCTGGGATCTGCCCTGTTGTGCTCCTCTCCTGCAATTCCATGGGAAAGCGAGGCATTCACTGCTGGCAGGGCAGGCAGAGCACACAGGTCCCTAGTACTGGAACACTCACGGCATGTGGAGGCAGGGCAGCAATGTGCTTGGCAGCTGTTCTGTGATAAGAGGCACAGATGCCTAAAACTGAGTCACCTTAAAGAAGAAAAGAAATGCTGAAAAGCATCACATCACAAGAATTAGGACATATTAGATTTAAGAGTACCCTCAGCAACTGCAGCAGAAGCATTTTTCAGCCATAATCGATTCAAGTGAGACTGTACACGACACCCTACATCTTTCAGGTGAAGTTATTTCACATGCAGCAGCAGAACTTGAGGTAAGGCACTGACAGTGACTGGGGTTCTTGCTGGGATTCACCACTAAAAATGAGCCATCCTCTGGCACATGCCTGAGAAATKGGACAGTGGGACTTCCTCAAGGCTCTATCACCTCTGAACAGTTGGTTCAAAGAGCAGACACCTTTCTGTGCAGCTGCACCCTGCTGTGGCTTCAGCTTCCACAAGCTGGAGATTGACCCTTCAAAAGGCATGAGTTCATTTTTTAGTACATTCTGGACTCTACGTTCCTGCTACACAAGCTCGTTTACCCAGAATTGCAATCACATGCACTTGCTGCCTGCACACACCATCACCCACACCCAGAGCATGTTTGGTAACAGAGCAAGAACTAGCACAGAGCAGAAAACATGATTTTCTGGGTGAACCAGGCCCAGCACCAGTAGAAAATGCCATTAGCTACAGAAGGGAAAGAAACCAGGCAGAGGCAGAAATAACAGCTTTGGAAATAACCAGCCTCTAAAGTTATTTTTAGAGCTGCCTCCCCCAACACCCAAGATATTCAGAGCTGTTTAAAAAAATATGAATCAAAGGTAAGCGCACAAAAAGCAGTGCCAGGAGAAAGAAGACTGTGCTTCAAAGTTGTTGCTGCCATCAGCAGTGATGGCTGGCCTGGTCCTGTTCCATTCAGGGCAGCCTTGTTAGCCTGGCTCTGCTTTGCTGTGCTCAGGGATCCAACCGACSTGTGGCCGGCACTGCAGGATGGTGGCAGCCAGGCACTGCTGTGTTTGGGAGTGAGCACAGCCTGGATGGGGGAAAGGACAAGCAGTGCTTCCATCCCCTTTGGACAAGCGCAGTCATCACAGAATCAATTAGGTAGGAAAAGACYTCTGAGACTGAGTCCAGCCTGTGACCGWACTTGTCAACTAAASCACGGCTGAGTGCTACGTCCAGTCTTTCCTTAAACACCTCCAGGGATGGTGACTCCACCACTGCCCTGGGCAGCCCATTCCAGTGCCTGACCACTCCTTCTGTGAAGAAATACCTCCTGATGTCCAACTTAAACTTCCCCCGGTGTAGCTTAAGACTGTGCCCTCTCCTCCTGTTCCTCCTGCCAGGGAGCACAGCCCAACCCACCCCCCCCACCTGCCCGCTGATGTCAGGGAGTTGTGCAGAGCCAGAAGGCCCCCCTGGAGCACCCCCCAGCTCCCTCAGCTGCTCCTGAGCCTTCCCGGGACAGCTGGGGTGACAGGCTGGGACTGTGTCCCCGCACACTGACAGAGCACAGGGCACTCTCCGAGCAGGAGCCGGAGCTCTCCCAGCACAGCCCGGTCCGGAAGGCTGCGCTCTGCCTCGGGCTCTCCACACTCGCGGGCCCCGCGCACCCTCAGCAGCCTCGCCCGGGAGGAGCCCAGCCCGGCCGGCGCTCACCTCGCCCTACGGCCCTGCTGCAAAGCGCAGCAGCCGCAAAGCGCGCCCGGCGCCGGGCAGGGAGCGCCCGGGCCGCCCCCAGCACCGGGACCTCCGGGACCCCCGCGCCCTCCAGCGCCCGGGGCCGCCTTACCGGCTCCCGCTGCGACCCCCGCAGCAGCACAGTCCCTGTCCCRTTTGTGCACCTGTGGGAAATCCACTTTGAGCACGACTCGCAAGCACTGAGCATCTCCCAGCTCCAGCCCGCGGCTCCCGAGGCCCAGCCGGCTCCTGCTGTCACAGGATCACAGAACCCAGCAGGTTGGAAAAGACCTTGGGATCATCGAGTCCAACCTTTGCCTGATCCCCKACTTTGCCACTGAGACCAGAGCACTCAGTGCCACTCCACTCCTTCCTTGGACACCTCCAGGGATGGGGACAGCCCCTTCCAATGCCTAACCACCCTTTCCATGAAGAAACATCTCCTGATGTCCAACTAAACAGCTCAGGGACTCTGCCCTCTCGTCCTGTTGCTGGTTGCCTCAGACCAGAGGCGGGTGCCCTGCTGCCCTGAAGAAACCATTCAAGACATTCTGTCTCCCTTTTCTCTCTTAAGCCTGCACATTTCATCAGACCTGATGCAGTACAAACAGGAATTAAAGCATCACACAGATGAACAGCCAAAATGCAAGGCTCCCTCCCGGCCGCTGCCCCGCGGGTCTGATGGAACTGCCAGACCTGTGTGTCCACCAAACCCTCCCACAGCTCGACTCACAGGGAGCAGCATTCACAGCAGCAGCCGCACGGGCACGGCAACCACAGCCACAGCCTCCATCCTTTCGTTTGCCTTCCCCAAAGTCCTGATCACCCTATCAGCCTGGTTCAGCATTTGACTCGAGCGAGAACAACTCCTGGGAAGGAGCARGGCTCAGAGCTGGCTGCCTCCCCTCAGCAGCTGGGCACTCTGCAGCACTCATCTGCAGCGAGGACCTCAATGGAGCAGCGATAAAAGCTAATGTGTGGCACCACACTACTGGTAGTGCAAGGGCAAGACGATTGCAGGGTGACAGTGATGCTGACACTGAACCTGTGCCAAACACAAAGGCCAACAGCAGCAGCACCATGGCCAAGGCAACAGGCTGCTGGTGAGCAGAGCTCTGCTTCCCAGCATCCAGGATTCCCCGCTCAAGGCCTGCCTCTTGGCACGCTGCAAACCTGAGCATCACTGAAACCCAATACCCTGGAAATTAAGTAGCTGCTTTGTCCAGAACCAGGAGCTCAGGATGTGCAAACACTGTCCAACACCCTTGTACTTSCAAGGGATCAGATGAAACAGCAGTTCAGGCACGGGGAGAAGTTCTCCAGCTTTATTTCACCAGTACCCATCTCCCCAAAGCCACCTTCTGMCTCAGGAAATTCCAGCCCAGGTAGTACAAGGCTAGGCATTATGGCAGACCTGCACTGCCAGGGAGCTTGCTGTGCTCAGAGCAGCCATGCCGAGAGGCCAGAATTCCCAGCCCAGCTCAGACTGGCAGCACCAGCAGCTGCTCAACGGAGTGCACCAAAGCCTGGAAGAGTTCCTGCAAAGAAATGTCGTGACTCGGGACCCCACGTTTGGGGCAAGCTGAGAGACTGAAAAGCCTCAGTGTTCGAACAAGGGAAAGGAGGGTTACCAACAAAGCAGTGACCCGAGAGCCCCAGCCATAGTGTGCTGGGCCACAACCTGTCCTGCACRTGCTCTTCTCCATGGAGCAACACTGACCAGGCTGGCAGCCAAGCAGGGAGATGGCTCCTAATGAGGGCCTTCAGGAGAGGCTGGGGACTCCCTTGGGGACAATTCCACAGCAGCCTTTGGGACACTTTCTCTGCCTTCAGACACAGAGAGTTGGCTTATGTGTAAGGCCTAAGAGGGATGCAGCATCCATGTTTTAACTTCCCAATGTTAACTTCCTGTTCAACGCAGCTATAGATACACCCACTCTGGGTAGGACGTTTAGGCTTGGAGATCCCTCCTGTACACAGCAAATGCCTGGCTGGGCTCTGTTCAGGTAGATCTCAGCCACTTCCAGAATAGAAACAAAACAAGACAAATAGTACTTAGAAGTTTTGACTACTCTTATGAAAAAAAACTTGCAATAAAAATTTCCTTTTATCAACTTTAAATACCTTTCAGCTTTCATCAAACATCACCTTGCACTATGACWGTGCATCAGCAGAAAGGCATAAGCAGCTTCTGATCTCCATTTCAATTCCAGCTCTGACAGACCTGCACCACAGGTAAGAATTTAACTTTGAAACATTCGCCACTCAGGTTTCTCAGTCAAACTTCAAACTGGAGAGACAAAATAGCAGTTTAAGCTTTGATCTCTTGGAACTAGGTTCAGAAAAGATTACTGCAAATGAAACCTGGATTTCTTAATGAAGAGCACTAAACAGGATATACAGGATTGATTGTCAACACATCCTTGATGTAAATACCAGTGCTAAGGTTTAAAATTTATGTACATTCACTGTTTCCTTTTTGAGCACTGCTGCCTGATGCACCAAGCCACAGCCTGGCTGGGCTGAATCCCTTTAGAGACTGGTTTCATTTTCTTGGTGTTCCCAGAGGARCTGACAAACTCCACTTACTGAGACCCTGCATGCACTGTCTGCTCAAGTGATGCTGCAGCACCYGTGTGGGCATCAAGCACGCTGCCTGGGTCTCAGCAGGGGCATGTGGCTTTCTGCCTTTATTGGCAATTCACACTGCAAGACTAAGTGCAGCACCAAGGAGGGAAGGACATAATAATCAGAACTCAGCTGTCTTCCTAARTGTACAGAAATTTGGGAAGAGGTCTGGCAGTGCATAACCCACAGCCCTGTCCTCAATGGAAATTAATGGTCCTGGGGGACCATTAACTCCCCGGAAATGCTTGTCACATTCTGTGACAGCACAGTAGCAGCCCACAYGGAGCTATGCTGATACTGGGACTGCCCTACCTTAATGCTGCCTGTTAATTAGAGGCCAGACCCATGTGAGCAGGTGGGTCTGAGCACTTACCTCATAGTTTTCAGTGGAAATCACAAAAGCTTTCGCAATGGTGCTATTTACATTTACCTGTCAGACCCTGGCAGAGCAGCAGTGAAGCTCAGGGCTGAGGCCCAGCTCAGGACTTCAGCCATGGGGCTGTTGTTCCTCTTGCTTCTCCAGGGGACAGAAGACTGGTACTTAATGCACCCATCTGCACCAAAGGGTCAGCAATTAATTAATTYTGCAAGACAAACTGAAGCGGACAGAATTTCTAAATATTTCCTCCTCTCCTAAACTGGCCCATCTGCAAATACTTTAACTTTCACTTGTTTAAAGACAGCYTATGTTAAACCCTGGTGTCATTCTGCATCCCACTTCTTCCTCTCTCCAGGTGGAACACCAGCAGGGAAAGGAAAGAAACTAATTTTTTCACGAGCTCTTCTGGAGAGACCCGATATTCACCATTCCGAACTCCAGTCCTCACAGAACTTTATCTGACAGCATGAACTCTAATCGTCTTTCATAGCAAACAGCAATCATACTTAGCACTGCACCCCTCCCTTTTAAATCTGCTCTGATAGGAAACACACTGACAACTTTTCACTGCAGAAATTAAAATGGATTTTTCTTGAACAAGGCCACCCGCCTGCACAGCCCTAATCCTTCCAGCTCACATATGTCTCTGTAACTTGCACTGCGCTGAATCCAATTATGCCTCCTCAATCCATTAAAAAAAAATTTGAGGCTGTTGTGCAGGTTGCACAGAGCAAGAGTATCAGCTGAAGAGGCAGAACCAAGCCCTGCTGCACCATGGCTCTGCAGCCTTTCCTCTGCAGGTGTGCATGAAGAGGGTTACGAGAAAAAGTGTCATAGAGTGACTTCCACAGAGCCCAATGACCAGTTCACTCCAAACTATCCCAGTCTGGGCTCAAACAACAGGAAAATTCATTCAGGAGACAAGAACCGACACACAGCTCTTTGTAAACACCTGGCAGTCATTAGTTATCCATGAAAAGCTTTCAAAGTTCTCTTGTTCTGGCAGCATGCACAGCTACGAACGCTCTCATGGAGCAGCAGGTCTCCCAAGCATCAGGCTGGAGCAGCACAATAAGCTCGAGCTGAGCAGTCAGAAGTGGCTACAAATCCGAACTGCACACACTGATTAAGCACCCAAGTATCCAACGACTGACACAGAGCTGTGAGTAAAACAAGCTGATAGCGTGCGCTGGGACACCAGCTATGCTCCCACACAGGGACCTGTGGGGCTCCCAGCATGATGTGCTTTGCCAAATCACATTGGATCCTACAGATGACAACCCACATTTCACAGAAACCAAGTTCTTCCATTATCACCTGTGCTGCTCAGGGTCTCCTCATCCTTTCCAGGCTGGCACAGTGCACAGTAGTTACAGTCCGGCACTTCCAAGGCCACGCCACACATTCCGGGGCCCTCAACAGCACCCCAAACTTGCAGTGCCACAAGCAAAGTGGGACAGCAAACTAGATGCAAAAATAGCATGTGGCAGTTCAGCATCTGCACCTTAAAGATGAGTTTTTAGCTTTTCCACACCTGTCAACAACAGACAAATTCTGCAGATAACCCTCCTCTGAGTATCTGGGTAGAGACACACATCAATACTTCATCTGAAAGCCAAACAGACTGAATTTGATCAATAATTACACTTACTTTTCTCCACCCCTTCAAGAACATGTAACTTCACAGCACCAAATGCCTGTTGGAAGAGCAATTACCAGCAAAGTAATTTGGACCCTCTGGAGTCAAGTCTGCCAACTTACACAACTTGGCAATCTGGCTTGTTATCATCCCACATGATTGGAATTTATTTTAGGATTCAATGCCACATGCTGTGGGGTTTTTTTCCCTCCCTCTTCTTCTTTTCCTCCCCCAAGTGACAATCTACAGCCTAGGATTCAGAGGTCCTAATTCCATTCCTCTCTCAAAGACATTTCCTGCACATCTTGGGGTCAAGGTCTTTGCAGAATAAGTAGTATTAGTCCTACCAAAAGCATCCTGCAAACAATCCTCCTTGAGCCTCTCGATCAAGACTGGAGTGAACATTAAGAGCTACAGTTACACTCTGCACACAACCATCCGTAACATCCCCATCCTCCTGCAAGGCASACCAATGCCGAACCACACCTGCGGCTAAAATCAGGAGGGATTCAGCCTCAACTCCTGCACAGGGCGGGCAGCTCAAGGCTGGGGTGCCACAGCAGGTACCTTCAGCCAGGACCTGTTCTCCCAGGCTAAAAAAAGAGACTTTTCAGAGCCAGCTCTGGCCGGGAGGTGCCAGCTCGCTGCGCTGCGAAATGTCAGCCTTCAGCTCCGTGCCTCGCCCAGACAATTCCCTTTTCTTCTCCAGGGGAAGAAGAATCCGAACGCCTCTCCAAAGAAAGGGCCCAGGTCCCTCGGCGGGGAACGCGTTCAGTGAAGCGCCGCTTCCTTCCGTGCGGCACTCGGGGACTCCTTACGGGCTTGAAGCACCGGGCCGGACACCGGCCTGACCTCGCACGGCCACGGTGGGACGGGCATAGCGGGGCTGCACCGGGGCAGCGCTCACCCCCGCCCGGGCCCGGCTCCCCGCGGCGCAGGCGGCATGCGGGGGAGGAGGAGGTTGGAGCAGCCCCCACAGCCTAGCCTAACCCGGAGCCGAGCAGKGCGGCCCCGCCGCGGCCGCGCAGCTCCCACGGAGGCCCGGGACGCGCGTGGGAAGCGGAAGGGGCGGCGAGCCCGGCAAGCGGCGGAGCAGCGGCAGCAGCGAGGGAGGGAGGGGGCGGCACCCCCTCCCGCAGCCATGCAGGGCCCGGCTCGGCCCCCCGCCCGCGCGGTCACTCACATTGCCTGAGGAGCTCCAGACACAAAGCCATGGGAGACACAAAGAGGGGCGGAGGGGACCGAAGAGACGGGGGGGCGCGGGGCGAGGGCACTCGGCCCGGCCTGGGTCCCGCGGAGGGGAGGAAGAGGAGGACGAGCCGCCGGCGGGGCCGCTCGCGGTCCGGGGCCGCTCCGGCTGCTCGTACGGCCGCCGCTGGAGAAGGGAGGAGACGCGCAGAGCCGCCACCGCACTCACCGCGCCCGCCCGCCGCTCCGGCCGCGCGCCCGGGCGGGGCCGCGCATTAAGCGCCCGCCCCGCCCCGAGCCCGCCCCGGCCCGGCCCCGCCTCGAGCCCCGCCCCGCCGCGCTCCCACAGCCCGGGTCCCTCCGCCCCGCCGGACACGCGGCGGGTGCCCTGGACTCGGCCGGGATTCCCGGCGCTGCCCAGAGGGGACACGGGCGGCGTCCGCCGCTGCCGCACCGGCGCTGCCGCGGGGGGAGCCAAGCGCTGCTGAACAAAGCGRGGGCCGCTCCCACCCCATGAGGGAGCTTTGTCTCTTTGTCGCAGCAGCCGCGGTGACATCTTCCTCAGCGCGGCCCCGGTCCCACCCACGCGCGACCGTGGGTTTGGCGGAAAGAGCCCCTCGTGTCCCCCCCGCTCCAGCCGCTTCTGCCCYCGCAGCGGGCGCGGTGGGACCCCCGTGGCTGGCGGGTGCAGGGGCGCAGCACTGCCGCCACGCAGTGGAACCTGAACTCCTTCAGGTTCGCCGGCAGGAACCTTCGGGTGCAGAGGGAAATACATGGAAAAGAAACAAGTGCGACGAGGAGGTTTCCTTCGTGGGTGTGTTCCCCTGGTCCCAGATTTGCTGGTGGAATTCTTCCCCGCTGGGCACGGGGATAAGGAGTCGAGTTTTAGCGGGTGCGGGCGCGGGCGGGACTATGCCTTGTGCCTCCCCTGGGGCTGCCTGAGCAGGGCTGATGGAGGATGGAGGTGCAGAGGGAAGCGGGGCTGGCACAGCGTGGGGCTGTGGGAAGAGCCTGCTCGGGCAGAGCCACCCGGCTTTGCACCCTGGGCACAGCCACGCTAGTGCTGGATGAGCAACCAGCTCCATCCCTCTGATCCTGCGCCGACACACGGAGCTGAGCACAGGGCTCCCCGCTGCCCGGGGCTGGGGACAGCTGTGCGATGCTAGAGCCACCCTGTGTAGGGTGTGACCGAGACGGGCAGCGGGTGCCCACCAGCCCAGCCTGGTGTGGGCACTGGTGAGTGGCACTCAGCCCTGGGCAGGGCTCATGGCTGTGCGGGCAGTGGTGCTGCCGCGTGGCTCCTGCCAGCAGCACGTGTGCTGCCCGGCCCCTTGCCGTTACCATCACTGCTTGATGCTGTGATTTATTGATGGCTCACTGGGCTCCCCGCACTCGGAGAAGGGCTAGTCTGCAGCAAGGAGCCATCAAAGCGTCGTGGGAAACAGCGCACTGAGCTCAAGTGCTGCCGGCTCCGCAGGCAGGGCTGAGCCACCGCCGCCCTCGGCATTCAGCGACCGAATCGCTGCGGATTTGCTGCTTCTGCTCTTGGAAACAGCAGCACAATGGGGCTGAAGGAGGATTTGGTCATWGAGTCAGCCCTGAGCCTTGGGACCCTCAGCCTAGGGCATCCCCACTCTGCTGCCTACCAAGGAAAAAAGGAAACTTGTTTTCAGTCCAACGTCTCCCAGGTGGCTCTGAACTGCCAATCTTTTCCTGAATCCTCAGAAACACCCCCATGGCTCAGCAGATGGAAAAGATAATGGGAAAGCATGAAGGAGAAGAAAGGCAACCCAAACCAAGACGTACACAAAGAAACACTCATTTGCCTGTACTGTCTGATATCCTGAAAATGCCCCAGGCTGTTTGCAGAGCCTCACTCAACCCCACCCGGCCCTGCTCTTCAGGCACATGTRTGTGTCTGTCTCAGCTAAGGCTGTCGTTGGTCGCTGCTGAGCTGCCCCAGTGATGGCACAAGCCCCGTGGCCATAGGGAACTGCAGAGCGGGGCTGAGCATTGCCGACAGTGGGGACACAAGGGTCACCTGTGACTGTCTGGTGTCAGGGCAGCTCTGCTCACCTGGCTTACAAGGATGGCCAGTGTGTGGGAATGCCACCAGGCCCCTCGACCTGAGGAGAGACCTTGAGTGTCTGTGTCCCTGGAACATTGCCCTCCAGCTAGCTCTCCTCACAGACAGAGCACAGCACCATGCATGSACTCCTGTTGCTGCCCTCTCAGAGGCTCTGCATGAGTTGAGGCATCTCTTGGTGCTTTGGCTTCCCTCTCCCATGGGGACAGTACCAACAGCTCCCTTTCCTGCTATCAAAGCTGATAAAAGCAAGCAACGAGAAGGACTTGTCTTTCTGACCATATCAGCAAAGGGAAATGCTGGCTGCTGCCTTTGTTTCTCTTCCTTTGTAGATGGTCCCTGCTGGGAGAATTCAGCTTGGCCAGGACCTCGGAGCTGTGCTCACCTCCCCTGCATCTGTTTGTGCCAGCACAGGATCACGTGTGGCTGCAGCTCCCCCCTWGGCGGGGACCTGGGTGAGTGGCATTTCTGTGGGCTCAAGCCCATTGCGGCGGGGTTTGGGTGCCAGACACATGCCCGCAGCAGGCAGTGAGCTCACAGCCCATGGGAGTGCTGAAATCTGGCAGCAAAGAGCACCAGGCACATAAAGACAGAAATGGTTTGGATTTGGGGGTGGAGCTGAGAGCGGGGCTGTGGCCATGGCACAGCTTGCTGGGGAAAAGGGAGTGCTGGCTGGGCACAGGGCGGTGGTGGAGTTTCCATAATAACAGGGGAAAGATCAGAGATGAAAAATGAACTGGCAAATATGGACAGAAATAGCTGTCATAAATTTCTTTGTGTGGCACACATGAATGTATCACAGAATGCATGTGTGTGCCCCTTTTTCCTCTGCAAACACTGATGGAGCATACAACAGAAATCTTTCCCTAGCACATACATACACACACATGCTCTAATCCCTTTCCTGCTTGTATGTCAGAGAAAGCTATTTCTGGAACRTGAAATCTAGGTCAAAAAGAAGGAGAAAATCTGAAGGGAATGATAACAGTCCCTCCCAAAGGCCATGTGGGGTCAGCTCGGGCCGATGGGATTAGCRAGGGGCCGCAGTGGTTCTTCAACCCTGGCTGAGCACTGGCTCCTGGCCTGGTGTGAGCTCCCCATGCCTTCCCATTGCTGCTGCTTCCCCACACAGCAGAGAAGGCCATGACAGCCAAGGGGAGTGCAACAGAAACTGCCTGCCTACACGAAGAACGGCATCACAACACACAAAGGATGAGAAGGAGGAGGAAGATACATGACTTTCCCAGAAGCCCCATGATTTTCCCAGAAGCAGTGGAAACTCATCCCACAGTGAGCCAGCCCTTGGGGATTGGGCCAGCACAGTGAGGAGTGCAGGTACTGTGTCCTACCTCCTAGGCATGGCCCTGCTGCCCCTACAAGAGCATCAGTGCCAGGGCACCAGGCTGGCACCTGCCTCCTCCTGGGGCAGGGCAGGGTCCCCAGCACAGCCACAGGCCCAGGAGCCAGCTCTCTCATTTAGTCATAAACAGGGAAATAAAAGCAACCCAACGAAGACAGGACACAGGTGGGAGGCAGAGGGCGGCTGTCCTGACCTTTGGGAGTATCTCTCCCAGGTAGTGCTCTYCTGCCCAGCCTGGCCTTGGCAAAGTTCTGGTGGACGGATGGGCACAAGGTGTGTGCAGCCCTGGTCTTCCTGCACCACATCTGGAYGCAGGATGAGGAGCTGGACACCTGAGCTTTTTGGGGACAGGCTGCTGAATCTCAGGGCAAGAAGCTTTGAGCAAGGGTGGCATTACCAGATGGTCCAGGGATGACTGGGAAGAGCTYGAGTAGAACTGGCTTGGTGTGAGTTTTCCCTGCTGTATTTGCTTTGCTCACCTCTGCTTTCCTGTTTCCCCTAAACATCAAATATTCCACTCTGCATTGCAAGCAGTCTATTAAACAAGCAATTCCCAGAGCTGCCTCTAATAAGCAGGAGTCGGGGCTGGGGAGCCCTTTGTGGTGCTYGGGAGCGTTGTGGCTGTCACTGCACGCCTGGCAATTAGAGGAATGGGTTCCACTGGGGCTTTTGAGTCTCCRGCTGCGCAACGCACAAAGCTTTGTTTAAGGCTGATCAAGGGCAGCTCATCATCTGTCTCGCTGGCTGTCAAATGGGAGCTAATTGCCTTGTAATGTGCYGGTGACACAGGCATTAATGGGAGGAGCTGTCGTGGCATGGGTTTGACAGCTGTCAGGGCTCTCCCTCGTGCTCCCGGCACACCCTGCACAGAGCTCGCTGCCTCTCCTCCTGCCCTCTGACAGTGCCTGAATTCCACTACTTTAGCATCCAACACCCACGCAGCTCTCAAGGAAACCTGTGTGCCTCTTTAAAATGTGTCCCTACAGAGATGAGAGCCGAACCCCTTGGCAGGGAGCCAGGCTCATGGGTGTCCCCATTGCTCTGGGCTGGTGCATGGATGCTGAACGCAGGAAGGTGTCCCTGGGGTGTGTTTGGGTGAGGACTCTGAGCCATGTCACSCCAGAGCCCTGCAGAGGCCATGAGTGACCATTACACCTACAGGTGACAATGCACCCAATTCTTGGTCCAGGCTGATGCCAGCAAGCTGCCACCTGCTGCTTGGGAGGCCCCTCTCCCGCTCCACCAGCCACTGAGAGCCTCAGGGATGCACAGAAAAGGCCCTGGGGGTGCTGATCGACAGCAGCTGAACATGAGTCAGGTGTGCCCAGGTGGGCAAGAGGCCAAGGGCACCKGGCCTGTACCAGCCATGGTGTGGCAGCAGGACCAGGGCAGTGACTGTCCCCTGTGCTGGGCCCTGGTGAGGCACCTCAAGTGTTACGTCCATTTCTGGACCCCTCAGGAAAAGGACACTGAGGGGCTGAAGCATGTCCAGGGAAGGGAACAGAGCTGGGGAAGGGGCTGGAGCACCAGGAGCAGCTGAGGGAGCTGTGGTGGGCTTAGCCTGGAGAAAAGGAGGCTCAGGGAGCACCTTCTCACTCTACAATTCCCTGTGACAGGAGGGGGCAGCCAGGTGAGGGTCGGRCTCTACTCCAGGGAATGAGGGACAGGAGGAGAGGAAATGGCCTCAAGCTGCACCAGAGAACATTTAGATTGAATAYTAAGGAAAATTTCTTCACACAAAGAGTGGCCAGGAACTGGAACAGCTGCCCAGGGTAATGGTGGAGTCACCATCCCTGAAAGTRTTCCAAAAACCTGTGGCGCTTGGGGATGTGGTTTAGTGGTRGGCTTGGCCATGCTGGGTTAACAGTTGACTCAATGATCCTAGAGGGCTTTTCCAACCAAAATGATTCCATGATTTGCAGGGAAACTGAGCCCAGATGGGTGATTAGAGGTTTGAGTGCTGTCCATATGTGTCTCCTGCCTCCCCTGTCCTGTGCATGCACCAACACAGTTGCTCCTCTCTGCTCCCCATCYCTCTACCAAAACCCTTTCCCTCCCCAAGCCCCAGCAGCCACTGTGAAGGAGGCTGGGGGAGGCTCTGGAAGCCAGCAGAACTTTACTGGGTCATGACAGAGACAGATGGCACCCTGGCATTTTGGAAGCCCCTCTGTGCTGCCRCTGCCTGCTGTCAGCCTGGGACTCTGGCAGCACCGAGCTTAGCAGTGCTGAGCCAGCAACGAGAGGGTGGGGGAGAGGGGCAGTAAGGTGGGAAGAGAGTGGAACAGAAGCAGAGAGGAGAGGGTGGCAGGAAGGAGRRACAGGGCTGAGACCCCTCCAAGGGGATGTCCTCCAGTTCCTGCCTCATCCTATGGACTTTGACTGGGATGCCCCTGCACCTCAGACTGCTGAAGGCAGATGTGAGGCCATGCCTGTGTCTCTGGGGTGAAGGCCTGGAGCCAGGCAGGAAGGCTGCTGGTGTCCCCCTTCYGATTCCCCACTCTGCCTGCTCCCACCCATAGCTCATCTCAGTGCTCTGGCAGCTTTGCCCACAACAGATGAGCTGAGGTTGCTCTGAACCTCCCCTTGGTGCCAGAGCTGGTGCCAAGAGCTACTGTCTCCACTGGGCTGGACCCTGGTGTACCCATGGGAATGGGATGCGCTGCCTTCATGGATAGCCCTATGGAGGGGCTGGATTCCTCCTGCCTGCTCTGGCATCTGCCCTGCACGATGTCCAGGCATCACTGGGCTCAGGAACACCAAGGTATMACTTTTTCTAAGCAGTTCCCAAAATTATCCCCAGGATGGGACCCCTCAGATCCTCACACTTTCTGTTTCACCTGAGCCTTACCTGGAACCATGGGGCTGGCCAGAGCTGGGAAGGGCACAGGCTGCCTTGGAGAAAATGATGCAAAGCAATGCAGATCAAGTGACCTGGAGCATCATTGAGATGCTGCCATCCCTCAGCACAGGGATGCTGGGCTCTGGGGCTCAGGATGGCTTATTCATGCCTTGAAACTCAGTGCAAGACCTATTTGTATCCTAGGGTGTACAGGGGGCCTCTCTATGTGTCATCACAGTCACAGAATGGTTTGGCTTGGAGGGACATTAAAGCTCAYCCAGTCCCATCCCTGCCATGGGCAGGGACACCTTCCACTGTCCCAGGCTGCTCCAAGCCCTGTCCAGCCTCGCCTTGGACACTTCCAGGGATTGGGCAGCCATGGGATTTCTGGGCAGCCTGYGCAACCACCTCACTAACTTCTGAAATCTTCCTGGAGCCTTCTCTTCTCCAGGTGAACACTCACACCTTTACCAGCCTGTCTCCAGAGGGGCTCCAGATCKTGGAAGATCTCTGTGGCCTCCTCTGGACTCTATCCAGCAGCTCCATGTCCTTCCTGTGAGGAGGGCCACAAAGCTGGGGAAGCTCTGCAGGTGGGGTCTCATGAGAGCATGGTGGGGAGAGTTTCCTCCCTTGACCTGCGGGTCACACCTCCTTCGATGCAGCACCCAGAGCCCGCCTGCCATTCCAGCGCCCGCATCCAGCTGCTGCCCATCCTCTGGGGAACAGAGCATGCCCCCACAAGTCCCCAAGATCATGGACAGCCACGGCCGGGGATGCAGGTACCCGAGCTTGGCGTCTCGCGTGCCCGACAGCTCCCGTCAGTGGCAGCAGTGTCCCCCGGTCCCGCTGGCCCCGCGCCCCGGCCCCTGCACGCCGCGGCACTCACTGCTGTTGGTGGGCAGGGTCCTGCTGCCGCTGAGGCTGCCCGTGGGCGGCGGGGAGAGGGAGCGTACGGAGCCCGTGTCGTCTTCCTGCGAGCAGCCCGCCTGGATGGCGCGGAGGTAGCTGTGGCTCCGGGATCGGAAGTAGCTGGGCAGAGGCAGGTCCAGCACCTCCGCGGCCGCCGACTCRGCCTCGCTGTAGGTGGAGTCGCAGACGGGCTCGTACTGCTCGCCCAGCTCCGGCTCGGGTGCCTGCACGGGGACAGGGGCAGCCCAGTCAGACCCTGCCTATGGCCTCCCGTCCCTTCCCTCCTGCTCCTTGCCCTCTGGCCACTCCGGCGTGCTCCCGCTCACGGCAGGGCGGATGGCAGATGCAGTAGTCAATGGTCAGTGGTGCTGGGATGCGGGGTGCCCGGGTTCTCTRCTGAGAGAGGGCAGAGGGGCCCTTCCTTGGGGACGAGAGGGTACCTGCTGGTGGAGCAGGGGACACTTACCAGTGCAGTGCCTGTGAGATACCTCCAGCCCTGCTGCTGAGAGCACGAGTGGCCAAAATCCCAGTGGGGCTTCTGCCAGGGCCCTGTCCCAACACAGCTGGGACACCCCAGCCTCATATGTGAGACCCCACCAGGTCAGGCGTGCTCCTCGGGGGTGAGCATGGGGACAGAGCAGGGGAGAGCTGTGGGCTGGCGGCACTCCCCATGCTGCCCAGGGACAGACTGCCTTGGGTGGGTGTGGGTGGCACCTTGGAACCCATCCCAGCCYCATCCCTGGTGAGGGCCAGTAGTGGGCTTGGCTGTGGTGAGGGGTGAGCAGGACAGRGGCAGCTCTCCCACTGTCTTGGCTTCTTTTCCCTCCTGCCCACAGCCCTGCCCTGCTCTCCTGTGGCAGCTGCTGGGACTACTTGGTTATGGGAGAGGCTCAGCCAGGTCCAACAAGACCCAGCCCAGAGCAGACAATTCTGAAATATGGGTGAGAGATGCTGAGACTGGCACTGTTGCCCACAGCCATCTCTCCTGGCCCTTTCTTTCTCCTGGCATTCAGAGACATTGTTTCTGCCCAGCACTGGCATCTCAGCTCCACGAGGTTTGGCTCAAGAAGTTCATCTGCTTTGCTCCTAAAACTGACAGCCCCTAAGTCCCTGCTGGGCCCAGGACCCAAGTTCTCCTGCTACCCTGCAGTGCTGGAGYGCTGGCCAGGAGTGCTGCCTTCCCCCTCCCCTTTTCTTCCTCCTGCTGCTGCTGGCCTGGGCATGGGGTGACCCCGGAGCCTGCCTCAGACCCCGCCATGGGTGTCCAGGCTAGCCCCAGAAAGCTCTGTGAGGAAGGATGACAGAAATGCCAGCGGGACAATACCTGCTCTCCATGAGTAAATATCTGAGGGATAAGTGAGGGGGGTCCAAAAATCTGGAAGAAAGAGTTGGAGAAGGTTAAAGGCCAAGAACAGGGGACCCCCTCACACAGACAGTCACTGCACAGGGACCAAGGACAAGGGGAGCAGGGGCCCATCCCCTCGGGCCACTGCTGCTGACATTGCAGTACAAACTGCRGAGCGAGGCCACACTGGCCCCTAAGACAGCAGCACAAACAAGGCAAAGCTCCACAGGACACCTCAACCATGGGAGAAGCTGCTGAGCATTCAGCCTGCTGTGTGCACCATAGGGACACGGGGAACACACTGTGCTGGGACAGCCCTCGGCACACAGGGACAGCTGGGCAAGGCAGCCGGGGCTCCCAGGAGCACCTCTGGGTGGCCCCCAGGCAGCAGAGCTGGGGCACGTGGGCAGCCCAAGGGCTGCATGTGGGGGCAGCTGTCCGTGACCCTTGGGCGCTGGGCTGGCCAYCTTGCTGCTGCTGTCCACCACCCTCTGGGGCTGGGCTGGCCACCTTGCTGCTGCCTCCCTGCACCAGAAGAAGCCACACAGAAGCTGTTGTGCCTCCCCAGCAGAGCAAAGCCACGGCACACACTTGGCATATGGACAGACGCCTGACAGACACTGCACTGCCCTGGGAGCATGGCCTCCTCCTCCTCCTCCTCCTCCTCCTCCTCCTCCTCCTCCTCCTCTCCACCCTCGTGGCTCTGCCCTGCACAACCTGCCTAAGATGACCCATCTCAGGGGGAATCCAGGTTCAAAATGTACCTGAGGTAAGAAGCTTGGCTCTGGGGATGGCCCTCTGGCACAGCTCACAGTGAGGCTTGGCAGCATTGGGGTCACCAGCTCTGTCCCCTTCGGTGTGACGGGGGTATGCTGACACACACACACACCTGGTGATCCCCAGACTGCCAGAGGGCTGCAAGGTGGAATGGGGACAAAACCAAGCAGAGGGGACTTGGCTGTGCGAGTTGGGCTGTTTCTGTGTGGGATGACACTGAGGTCTGGGTGGACACACAAGGGGAGGGCAGGGCAGGAACTGCCTCTAGCACTGGATGAGACCAACATGCACTGATGGCTGAACCAGCTCCATCTTGGATCAGCAGATGTGCAGCTTCTGAGAGGCCTCTCAACCCTGAGCAGCTGCAGCTGAATTCTTGGGATGTGGGGGACAGTGGCAGAATGCRTTAAATGGCAGCAGCCCCACGTGTAAGTCGATGCTGTGGCAGCGTGTGCCCCAGCATCCCAGTGCCACCAATCTGGGCAGTACCATGGGCTGCTCAGCCCCTGCAGCTCTAGATTCCCCCGGTGTCTCTATAGGGGGCTGCATTTAGCTCCTGACAGCAGCTCTAGACATGGACAGAGCATGGCCCTGCTGTGTCCTGCAGAGACATGGCTTCAGCACGGACTGACACGCAAAGGACAAGGACATGATGGCCCTGACCCTGCCACTGTGCCCTGAGACACCAGCACATTGCTGCTGCTGCTGCTGCTGCTGCACGGGGGACAGGACTGGCCAGGGAACAGGAGCACCTAGCAATGCCCCTACTCCCACCGAGCTCCCCTCCGAGGGCTCTGATTGCTCCGGAACAGCCAAGGGGCTGGAAGGGCTGGGCTGTGCCAGGGCAAGGCTCAGAGACCCCCACACCTGGATGGGAACATGCCTTTCTGCCSTCTCACCCTGGGGCTCCTGATGGCCACCTTGCTGCTGTGCCCCCCCGGATATGCAGGCACACAGGAACAGATGGGACAGAGGCCCAGGGTGACCAGGCTCGCTGGGCAAAGCTGTGGAGTCAGAGCTGCCCTGCAGTGAAAGGGCCGAGATGAGCACACGGGACCTCTGCAAAGGCTCAGTCCTGGCTCTGGTCACCTCCTGGCCTGTGAGGCAGCTCCAGAGCGATCCCAGCCCCAAGGAGCTCCAGAGCAGTCCCAAGCCCACAGTGTGGGGAGTTAGACCTGGCTTGCATTGATTGCATCCCAAATGCTGGGGTCAGGGCATGAACCCATCCCATGGCAAGGGCTTTGCCCACACTCTGCCAGCAACTCACAGGAATCCTTGGCTTTGCCACGGGGCCCAGAAATATCCAAGACAGACATCCCCGGCTGGCTGGCAGGAGAGCCTCCCAAATTACGGGCTCCTTATTCCTGGTCCAGTCTGAGGCATGAGGGGTGGGGTCCTGAGCTGAGCAGGGTAYCTGTCCCTGGTGACATAGTGCTGCAGGGCCCCAGGCTAGACACCACCAGGAAAGGCTGGCCCTGGCCCTGGTCCTGCTGAGTGGGCATGAGGGGCTACAGCAAGCCTGAACAGCCTTGATGATTGTTCTGGGGGGTGACACAGTAGGCTCTTGCACCCAGAGCAGCCCTGAGTGTCCCCAGCACTGTGGGGCACCCTCTGGGCTACCATACCTGTGGCAGAGGGACTTTGGCTGTACCAGCAGTGTGAGCAGAGCAAAGCTGCAGGAAGGAGCTCTAACAGGAATTCTGGCTGAGGAGCTGCCAGGGAGCAGCCTGTGCAGTTCCTGGAGCACAGCCAGTGCCTTGTTTTGAAGAGGGAAGAAGATGCTCCCTCCACCCCAAGCTGGCCTCCTTCCTGGCTGGCCATGCCAGAACAGTATGGCTGCACTTCAGCGCCTCACCTGGTTGATGCAGCTGGACTCGTTGATGCTGTCAGAGATCTGGTTGTATTCTTCCTCCCAGGTGGGGAACTTTGGAGGTAGGAGGATCTCAACAGAGTCCAGACGGTCCAGGCTCCTGCCAGCAGAGAGAGGTGTGAGGGTGTCCCCATGGCAGGGACAGTGCTGGGGCAGAGCCAGAGAAGAACCAGAACACCCCTGCCCACAGCCAGACCACCCCTGTCCATGGCCAGACCACCTCTGCCGGGCAGAGTCATGCGTGGCAGCATGCAGATGGTGCTGGGCACCTTGTCCACTGCTTGGCTCCTCACCCTGCTGGCACCTAGCTTGGGTATGGCACACAGACGAAGGGTTGTGGGGTGCAGGGGGAAGGAGGGGAGACATGATTTTGGGTCCTGCTGCCCCCAGGAATGCACTGCAGCTGCTAGGTTATTCCAGCTGAGCCCTGGGGAGCACGTCGGGTCTGTGCCAACCTCTAGAATCACAGCACTGTCTGCACTGCTGGAAAAGGGGGAGATGCAGGGTGAGAACTGGCTTTTAATTTGTATTTTGTGCACTTTGCAATTAGAAACAACTGCGAGATACATATATTTAGAYTTGTATAGAGGAACACAAAAGATTATCTGGACAAGTCCAAAGGGAGCCAAGCTTGAATGACAGTGCTGTGTGAGCAGGGGGTCAGTATTGCCAGGACAGGTTTGCTGGGAGAAACTCTGTCCCCACATYATGGGGCATGGCAGCAGCCTCTGYACAGGAGAGCAGGGCTCTCATGGAGCCAGAGCCAGACCAGACCCGAGCTGAAACCTAGGCATGCAGGGGTAGGAGGAATGGGAAAGATGGGTCTCCCTGGGGCTCTGTTTCACCAYGAGACCCTGTGTGAAGGTGTCCTGGTCACAGGCTGGGTGCTCATGGTGGGGGACATAGTCAGCTACAGGAGCCCAGGAGAGCTGTGGGGCTTCTGCCCCTGGGATTGCCTGAGGTCCCTACACAGACCCTCATGGTGCTGCTWCCCCCACAGGGCCATGGGCACAGAGGGCTGATTGTCACCTGCCTGGGGACAGCTGAGCTGAGGGCAGGGCAGGCCCTGTCCAGCTTGTGGGCATCCCACAGGGAATCTGAAGTGCTCATTCTGGCATTATCCCCTGTGTTTATCCCCTTCTGCCAGGGGACATGGAGGAGTCACCCAAGGCTACATGGGGACCCAAGGGCCATGTGACAGCCCAAGCCCTGGGTGCACTGCTGACCGTCGTGTTTCCCTAATGCAGAGGGTTTGGTCGTGAGCTCACACCACGAGCCAGCAGTGTCCTGGAGCGAGCAGTGTCCCTGTGCCACTCCCCCCAGCCATCACCCTGCTTCCTCAAGGGGAAACCGAGTTCACAGAGCGACCAGCAGCCCCTGGAGGGGCAGAGACCCTCGCCGAAGGACGGCTCGTGGCCTGCTCTGTTCCTTGCCCTGGCTCTGGCTGTCCCTGCGGCCCGCCCCCTTCTCCCGTGCCAGCCGCAGCCCGTAGTCCCTGGGCTGGAGGAGTTCGGGGCTGCCGCTGGGCGGCGAGGGCCGGGCACCAGGTGGCGGCCGCGCTCCGCTCGGCTCCGTTCCGGTCCATCCCCGCCTCCGGCCCCATCCCCGGTGCCATCCCCTCCTCTATCCCCGGCCCCTGGCTTCATCCCCGGCTCCGGCTCCATCCTCGGCTCTATCCTCGGCTCCTCTCCGGCTCCATCCCCGGCTCTATCCTCGGCTCCAGCTCCATCCCCGGTGTCATCCCCGGTTTTATTCCCGGCTTCATCCCCGGTGCCAGCTGCGGTGCCATTCGCGGTTCTGGCTTCGTTCCCGGCTCTATTCCTTGCTCCAGTCCCACTCCCGGCTCCATCCACAGCCCTATCCCTGGTTTCAGCTCCAGCTCCAGCCCCCGTTTCTGTTCCCGCATCCAGCTCCGGACGGGGTGCACTGCGGAGCCCACTCCACCCCGCAGGATCCTGCCCCCGCAGAGCTCCTGCAGGGACGAGCCCTGTCTGAAGCCCTCCTCAGCCGCATCCCTGTGGTCCTGACCCGCCGCGCTCCCCAGACCTTTCCCAATACTGTCCTGGCTCTGGCTGAGCCCAGTGCTCAGGGCAGGCCACATCCTGATGTACACGATCTGGATGGACAATGCCTGGGACAAAAGGAGCCCCAGCCTCTCTGTGTGGATATTTTTCACCAGAGACCCCACTCTGCTCTCCTGAGGTGGATGTGAAGGCCGGGGATGGATCCAGAGCAAGCATTTCCAGGCTCCCCACAGCTGATTTTGTCACCGTGTCCCGGCAGAAAGCAGCACCTGTTCTCAATCTGACGGCTCTGAGGGGTCCCCACACTGCCCCCACCTCACCTATCTCTGCCTGCTGAGCCTCAGCAGTTCATCCTGCTTCTCCCTGCCCCTCTGTACCCCCCACAGCCCCATGAACTGCAGCACCTGAAGCACTGACAGCCCCCAGGTGCCTTATCCCAGATGTGGAGCAGTTGCTGAGGACTCTGCACATTATCACAGCCCAGCTCACACAGAGCTCATCGTGCAGGACCTGCTCTGCTCCCCTGGCTTTGTCTGCATGGCTCAAACCACTGCGGGTCTTCCTCCCTCAATACCTGGTGCCAAAGCTCTCAGCTCCTTTCTCCTGGCCTCAGGATATCATCCAACCCGGTTTGCCCGGTTTGTCAGTGGTCAGTGGTCCCTGGACACATCTAGAGCAGAGCAGCTCCAGGAACAGCCCCAGCAGGCTGTGTCCTCAGCCATGCTGGGTAAGCAGCTTCCATGCCCAAACAGCATCTTGGGCTTGGGATCTTTATACTCCCCCAGAGCAGAAGATGCTTGGAGAGGAAATCCCCACACCTCCATCAGAAGAGTGCTCTCCCTATGACTCAGGGGACAGGGACCTGGAGCAGCTCCTAATGCCAGGGCTACTGGGAATCACCAGGATGGGGAGCTCTCTCCATTCCTCCGCCACACTTCCTGTCCCACTTGTCTCTTCATCTYGCTGCCCTGTGAGCAGCCTGATCTGGGCTGCAGGAGCCCTGCTGGTCTCTGATYCCATATGGGGCCTCTGGGGCCTGCTGCTGGCCAGACCCCAAGGGCTGCCCGGGGGTGGCCCTGGGGACCTGTGTAGAGCTCCCAGAGGAGCTCCAGCATTACCTTTGTGTGGTGCTCTGCTCACTCAGGGACTGTTGGGTGGCCTTGAGGTAACTCTGCCTCCGAGCTGCAGTTTTTGGGGATGGTTTGGGGCTGGTTTCTGAGTCCTCGCTATCGTCATCCCCCATGGCTTTGATGTAACTCCCGCTCCGCATGCGCCGGCACGGGATCTCGCTGTCCTTGTCCCGGGACAGGGTATTGTTCCACTCCCCCTGAGGCACCTGCGGGAAGAAGGGGAGCATGAGCAGAGATGAGGGATAGTGCTTCTGGGACCAGCAGGACCGCGGGGACTCGGGCAGATTGCTGGACTTTCCGCTGGACTGTAGTGGCAATGAGCAGCACAATTCCTTCACAACCCGCCCTTACCAGTCCATGCCAGGCAGCTCTTAATTTGGTGGCCTCTGTTTTAGCATATCACAGCCATTCCCCACCTCTGTACACCTCCATCCCAGACATGCTCACACAGCCAGCACAAGCTGCACAAGATGCCAAGCATAACAGGGAGGGAGAGGGCAGTCTCACCGGGGCTCTGGGGGGCATTGGGACAGGGCTGGACCACATCACTGGACATAAAGCACTGTTGTGGAGCAGGGCTTKGGGGTCAGAGCCCAGACCTTCACGGGCTCTTTAAGGTTTCTGGGTTGACTGAAACTACTTTCTGGAKCCAAGTCAGGCRCTCACGAATCCCTGTAGAGCAGCTTAGGCACACAGACCTTGTGCTGGCTTCTCTGCACAGAGATGAGCAGCACCTTGGGTATGAAGAAAACTTCTAATCCCACCAGAATGACATCTCCACAATCAATTTAAGGCAGACACAGTCTCTTGTTCCCTYACTAGAGATGTGTGAGCTGATGGTCCCATGGGTGACTGGAAGCACTGGGCAGCCACAGCAGCCACCGCCCTGTCTGCCCACCCTGTGAAGGGTTTTTGAGGGGACCAGAGGCAGAGCCAAGGTGCCCAGGACTGCCCAGGATGAGCCACAGGTAGTGGGGGACAGGTCAGGAGGAAGATGGGGACGTTCCAGGAGCAAGCCTTGTCTTTKTGGCCCACTTGGACTGCAGCTGGCTTTTGTCCTGCCCTCGAGCTGAGAACTGTGGCCAAGGGGCATGTCAGGACAGATATGAGGATGCAGCAATATCAGTGCCAGCACCGGGGCACCAGGGCCACCCAGACTGCCCCAGCAGCAGCTGGGGGTACATGGGGAGTAGTGAAAGGTCTTGGCTGGTGAAAGCATCCCTGCTGACTGTGCTGGATGGAGCTGCTGGAGCTGCCCAGCTGCCCAGGGAGCTATGGGAGYGAGTTCATGCAGAGCTCTGGGGACACAGGGCTGCCATGAGGCAGAGCCGTGCCGTGCCTGTGACCACCCCTGCTCCCAGCAGGGCTCCGTGGCAGCCAGACTGTGTGGCGCTGCTGGGGTGCAGCAGCTCCATGTGAGCTTCAGACCTGCAGGCAGGGACTGCCTGTGCCCCTGAGAGTGCCTGGGCTGTGAGCAGGTGCAGGCTCCATGCACAGCTGAGGGTTTGCTCCTGCCCCAGGGGCTCAGCCGCTGCCCTGCCAGACTGCTCTGGGTGGAACACACCCCAAACTGCCCGTGGGGCTGCTCTGGTGACAGGACCCTGCCTGGAGTGCACCCATGACATGGCACCCACATTTCTGGGGCTGCGGAACAGAGCCGGGGCTGCTCCCAGGTGTGTGGGATCCAGCTGGGGACCGAATGGAGTGAGCCTTCCATGTGAGGCACATCCCCRGCCAGGCCTCCCTGGCCTCATCTGCTGCTGGTGCGCATTTCCCCAGCTCTTTGCATTCTGCTCCTGCAATCTTGGTGCTTGGCTGTGGCTCCCAGGCTGGCTGATCCCAGGCTGTCTGTCCAGCTCAGCGGCTGTGGGTATCATCCATCAGGTCCTTGTAAACACCAGAGCTGAGAGCTCTTCRCCTGCCAGGTGTGAGTGCTGCCTCTGCCCCAGCCTTTGTCTGTTCTGGTGGCCTTGAGGCCAGGAGGGACCCCACCGGCTCCAGCTGAGCCCTGCCATGGGAAGGATCCCCACTGGGATGCCTGGCTCTGACTGTTCCTAGAGGAGACAGGGACCCTGAGAATCACTTTTATATCCATCACCTTGTTTCAGGTCTGCCTAGAGACTGCATTTTGCTGCATGCCTTCTCCTCAGGGTGAGCTGCAGCTCCTGCCTGCAAGGTCTGTGTCAGAATGGGGCTGGTGACAGTAGGCTGGACTGGTGAGGGCAGACAGGGCTGGTGAGGAGCAGGAAGGACCGGCAGGTCCGGTGAGGGCAGGCAGGGCCAGTGAGGGCAGGCAGGGGGCCGGTGAGGGGCAGGCGGGGCCGGTGAGGGGCAGGTAGGGCCGGTGAGGGCAGGGAGGATTGGGGAGGGGTCAGGCAGGGCTGGTGAGGGGCCAGGCAGGGCTGGTGAGGGCAGGGAGGGCTGGCTCCAGCCCCTGGCTGAGGAGGGCAGAGCCTGCCAGCAGCCAAGTGTGCCTTGCAGGACAGGGGCTGAGGACAGGATTGAGGACAGGGACTGCAGGACAGGGACTGCAGGACAGGGACTGAGGACAGGGACTGAGGACAGAACCTGCCTGGCCGTCCCTGGTGCAAGGCCAGCGTTGGGTGGTGTGAAGCAGTGAGTGCTGCTGGGCTCAGCCCAGGACCGTGGGGGCTGTGAGACCTCAGGGACCTGCAGCTGCTCTGCTGGCCCTGCTCGAGGGCAGGGGCTGGGGCTGCTCAGTTCTGCCATGGCTGCATTCTGGTCTCGGGTTCTGTAGGCACAGCAGCACAAAGCTCCAGAGAGTCTCTCTCTGCCCTCCCTGCCCCGCAGGGACCTGTCCCTCTGCCAGGAGCAGCCTGCCCACGGCATCACTACWGCGCCCAGTCCTGACTGAGCTGGCTTAATCCTGCTTTTGCTGCCTTTCCTCTCCTCTGGGCTGCGCCTTGGCAAGGAGCAGGACACAGAGCTGCTCTCAAGGTGCCCCACATTCCAGCTCAGCAGTCAAGGGGAAGGAATGTGCTTGGCAGGACWCCCTCTGCATCTACTGCCCCAGTTTGGAGTGTGTCCCACCTCTGCCTGCACAGAGTCCACTGGGTCTCCCACAACTCTTGCTCCTGTGGGACAGAAAGTGAGACAAGTGTTTTGTAAGTGTAACATCTGCAAAGATAAGGAGGTGCCCTCGGGGACCTGCAAAAGTAGTGCAGGTCCTCTGGGTGCTGTTCAGGGTCTTCTGGGGTGCTTCTGTGCAGGAGSGTGTGAGGAGTCTGTCCCACAGCTTGAAGCTCTGCGATGGGGTGACGAGCCCAGAGCAGCTCCTSTGATCAAGGACAGACCTCAAGAGCCTCTCGATGGCAGCAGAGCTCCTGGCAGGTAAGACCGTGGGCTCTAAGGACAGCCAAGTGGCACAGACGGCACTCAGGCCTGGCAGAGCACCTCTGAAGGCTCCTCATGGGCAGTGGGACTCTGCTGCCCTTCCTGCTGCTCTCCCAGATGTGGCCTTGATTTTGCCTGTGGTCTTTGGGTGGTGTGGAAGGGGTGGGAGGAAGAGGATACCCAGGTCTGGAGATTCTCTGGAGACTGGGGATGCCCCTACCCTGAGGCTGCATGGGGGTGAAGAGTGGGCAGAAGGGATGGTCTGGCAGGCTTTAGGACGTGAATCCTCCCTTGTGCCCAGTTMTGGTCCATGTGGTGCCAGGTGGTGCAGTGATGTGGGATCCAGGCTCGTGTCCATCCCTGGAGCTGGGCTCCACAGTGCTATCTCTCACCAAACTCTGTGTTGTCACCAGCCAGCAGCACCACCTGGCTCTGCAGCTCTCCTGCCATGAGCTAGCGCAGAGGGAAAAGGAAAGGGTGACGGGGAGGCTTCCCTTGGGGCATCCCCCAGTGCCTGGAGCAGCGACAGGGCCGGGGGTGGAGGGAAGGGGAAACCTCTGCTCCTGGGCTCTGYCAGGAGCTGCAGTGCTGCCTCCTCTCAGGGTGGGTCAGGGTAAGGGGCTCAGGGAGCGCACAGGGCCAGCTCTGCCATGCAGCCAGCCCTGCAAACACGGCCATGCAGCACAGGAACACCCTGCTCAGCACTCGGGGGGCATGGGCCATGCTCGGGCTCCACTGCTGCGGGCACACCGCTGCTCCCTCCGGGGCTGCGCCCCCCGGGCTGTCCCAAAGGCTCAGCTGTGGGGTCAGCCATGTCCTTGAGAAAGTGAACTGGAGCCAGGCTGTCCCTCTGGCRAGGCACCCTCTGCCACTGGACTACATTCCTGCTCCATGGCAGCTCTGTGGGGCTAGCGTGAGACACTCAGTGTTGTGGAGTGGCCTGGTGCTGACCAGGTCAGCCACTCTGGAATAGGAATAATTTCTGAGCTCTGCTGTGGTCTTGCTGGGGTCAGGAAGGCTGGTTCAGGATGATGCATCAGGTTAATGGTGGCTGTCCCTGATGGGCCACACGCTGTCTGTCCCTGCAGCATGGTCTGGGGACCCACAGCCCCTGCTCACCCCTGCCTGGGGCATCTCCCACTCCAAGGAGCTTCTCAGCCTCTTCCCTTGTGCTCCCAGSCATACATGGGGCCCATGGGGACAGGGGATGGGGAGCAAAGCCTCCCTCCTTGGGGACTGTACTCTAAGGATGGAGCTGTGTCACCCTGGGGACTGATCTTGAGAAATCCCCACCCTGCTAGGACACGGCTGGACCCGGAGCTGGAGCTGGGTGATTACCAGCTCCAGCATCTGGGTATGGATGTTTCCAGGGCCTGGAAATGCCACATGGACCCCCAATAGCCCTGATGAATCCCAGAAATACCCATAGCCTTCAAATGGGACAGGAGAGGTGAACAGCCTTGGGGGCTTATCCAGCCCAGAGGTTGAGGTGTCCTGTTTGTCCCCATCCCACTCTTCCTGCCTTCCCTCATGTCACTTCACCCTGGGACCCACTGGGAATTTCTGCCTGGCAGCAGCCCCTTCTGCAGCAGAGCAGGGCACCCGTGCCCCCCCCAGGCACTGGGGAGGCACATCCCCGTGGTTATTCCCCATGACACATGGAGGGAGTGGCTCATCCTGTCCCCAGGTGTGACAGGGGACACATGGCCTTACAAAAGGACATCTCCCCAGCACCAGCTCCAGAGGTGACTTCTCCATCACCATTACCATGCCAAGGAGGGGTCGGGATATGATCCTCCCATCCTCCTGTGAGATGCCTGAGCGCTGTGCCCTGATCTCTGGGGAATCTGGGGACAAGGAGAGCCTGAGCTTGTGGGGGCATCGTTTTGGGTCTGGGTGCCCCGAGTCTTGGTTCTGATGAGCTGCTGGTGAGCACAGGGGCTGCCCCAGGCTCTGGGGGTGTTGGTCACATCCCAGTGTCCCTCAGCACCCCTCCAGCCATGCCAGTCGTGGCCGTCGGCTGTTCCCTACCCACGCTGAGTCTGGTGGTGCAGGCTGCCACCCCTGTTCGATGGTCCCGGGAGGATCGGGGCGGGAGGGGGCTGGGCAAAAGCTTCCCCTCAAAACAAGATCCCTACCTGGGCGCTGCCTGCGTCGGTCGGCCCGGGGCTGAGGGGCTGGTCCCACCTCCGTGTGGGCTCGCTCGGCTGCCGCGGGGCACCCGTGTCCTCCCAGCTGAGCGGTGGGGCTGCCCAGCTGCTGGCCGGGCCCGTGCCACCCAGCTGTGCCCACAGCCCTCCGTCAGGCTGTCGAGAAATGGAGGCTCATTACATGGGGGGGAACGAGKGGGGTGGCCTTGCACCCTGCAGCTCAGGGGCTGTCAGGGCTGCCTGCCGGGCTCTGCACCGCAGTCTCGAGGGAGCAGGGCCCGTGGAGAGCTTGGCTGCAGCTCTTAAACCTCAAAAGGTGTAACTGGAACGAGCAGGGGCAAAGAAAAAGAAAYCAGGCCAAGACCATTTTCCCTGCTGGGGTTCCTGATGTAGTCATTTCAGCCCCTTGGAAATTTGATTTGCAACTGGGGCCAGCAAGGTATTGGAAGCAGAGTGTGCTTCAATAATTCATSACTTTTAAAGCCTCTAAGCCCGCTGGGCACAGCCAGGGGAGCCCCCAGCACCTCTGCATTAAAAGGATGCTGAAGAGATTTACACACACAGACCACGCCTCTCCTCCCCCCATGCAGGCCTGGCTTATTTGTGTTCATTCCTCTCTCTAGGGCACAACCAGCCATTCCCACCACTCCAGCGCCGCTTTCAGAACCTGCCGCAGACCGGGAGCTGTTGGTGCCAAGGTTTCAAACCAGCAGCAGCCATGCAGGCCATACAAGGATCTGGCACTGCCCTGCTTCACAGTCCTGCCCCGTGGGCAAGCAGCGAGGTGGCTGCTGGTCCTACCAGTGCTCCTGGGAAGCTGGGCAGAGCGGGACTGACGGGGCACGCCGGCATGTCCTTGCAATGCATGGAGATAAGGGTGAGCGTTAGTGAGCACTGCTGACCTTCAGCCCGGGGGTGGTGGCACAGGGGTCTCTGCAGGGGCCTGAGGAGCTGTGGTCAGTGTGACATGAGCATTCTGAGTGTTGCGGGCACAGGAAWATGCCACGTGGCAGCTACATCTCTGCCTGCCCAGGAGTATCTCCCTGCACCCGTAGAGTGTGGGCAGACAGTGGGGACACGCGGGGACCCACAGCAAATGGGGATCACGCCCGGCAGAGGGGTTGGGTGGCATGTCCCTCCACCCCCCACTGCCATGGTCCAGCACAGGGCCTGGGCATGCTGGGACAGTGCTGCAGCTGTGGCAGATGGACCCCATCAGCATCAGTGTCCCCCACAAGAGGAGAGAAGGTTTGTTCCCAGGGCCTTCCCCAGCCCTCTCCTGGCAGTATGACCTRAGGTGGCAGCTGAACCACCTGGAGATGTTTGATTAGGTCACACAGGTACCTACTGAGAGGACGTCCCTGAATTACCGTGCTCTCCCTGTGCAGAGMACCCCACATCCCGCCGTGGCACCCACCTGCAGGTAGTGGTAGGCCAAGTCCTGGTGGCAGGACTTGGATTTGAGCAAGGCTTTGTCGATGGTGGCAGAGGCCTTCTGGCACACCTCCCGGGCATGGCTGAGMGTCAGCGTGGACCAGGAGCCCCGCTTGATGTAGTTGGAGTCATTGTTGATGGGGATATTGGTGCAAGGGGTGACCTTGAGGTCGTTATTGCTCTTGGAGGATTTCAGCATGTGCTCGCTGATGGTGTTGTAGGCGTGCATGAAGTACTTTGGCTGGCTGTGGTCGGGTTGCCGGCCCAGTGTCATCAGCCCCATGGGGTTGCGGTAGCTGCAGGTGTCACTGTCCAGGTTGTCGTCAGAGCTCCACCAGCCAGAGATGTTGGACCTGGTCCTGCGCTTGGGCTCCGAGGTCTTTGCCCGGTCCTTGCTCTTGCTCCTCCGGTTTTGTTTGGTGTCATCTGCCCCCTTCTTCCCGTTTGCGTTGCCCTTGGCGGGACCCTCCAGACTCTGGGACTTGGCAAAGAGCTTCTGCACCGARTGCACAAGGTGCCGGATGCGCCCTGGGCTCTCACTCCGGTGCTTGGCRTCACTCCGTTGGAACTGGAGGGTGCTGAAGCCGTCCCTGTGGATGGGCAGCTGCTTCTCAAACTGATCGAGGAGGTTGGCAGGCAGGCGGTTGATCTTTGTGGCTTGGGCATGGCTCGGAAAAGGGTTGTCATCCGGCACCTCGAAGTGGGAGTTGTAATGGATGCGGGGGAAGGTGCTGCTGTTGGAGATCTGGTTGTTGAGCGGAAGGAGACAGTCGCTGTGGACAGTGTTCTGGGCTGGGAAGCGGGGATCCATGGTGAAGGAGTCAGTGGGGCTGAGGAGGTAAGGGTTCCTGTCCTGGGGGGCATAAAGAGAGTCTTGAGGGGARTCCAGGTTTTCGGACAGATGGCGGCTCCTGTTGTCGCCTAAGCCCTTCATGTTCCCAGTGCTTCCTAGACCATGGCTCAGGGAYGGTGCAGCAGAGCCTTCGCAGACCTCCCTGCAGCTGGAGGGAGAGGACAGATGATGAGAAACCACCGGGAAACCCTCTAGCAGTCCACTCCTCAGCAAGGACATATCCCTGTCCCCCTCTGAGAGCAAATGCCACCAGAGTTCAGGGATGAAAGAGAGAAGYAGRGGGGARRAGGCAGGAAGGGAGGAGAAAGGGTGGAAGACCAGGGGCTGGAGGGAGGAGGGGCAGGATTCACATCCCCACTGCAGCTGCAGTGCTCGTGTGCCTCAGTGCCCACCTCTGGCTGCTCAACAACGCTGCTGCTGCTGTTCTGGGGCCGCACATGGTTATTAACAGGGTCCACTCACAGCAGTGGGACAGMAGCACTGCCAGCAGGTCCCTGCTTGTCCCATTTGCTCGGGGGGCCAGAGTAAAGCTGCTGTCACAGCCCAGCAGGTCCTGGCCGAGCTCAGGCAGCCTGGAGCCAAGCACCCAGCTCTGCAGGGTGCCCGGTGTTCCTGTGTGATGGATCCTGGGGCTGGCACAGCTCCYGCAGCTGTGCTAATGTGACATGATGGTAGACACTCCTCTGCAGCCAGGGCTGCGTTCCTGGCAGGTTCTGCCCTGGAGCACAGCATGTCAGTGGCTTTGTGAGAACGGAGGTGTTTGTGTGCACTCAGAGCCTGACCCGAGAAGCTGTTGGCTGCTCAGATGATGATTTCTGCTGTGCTGCACCATTGCCAGGGAGCTGTGTCACCTGTGCCACCCTCAAGCCTGCCTGTGTGTCCCTGCCACTGTCCCTTCTGCYACAGCAAGGGGCTGGGGTTGGTCCCTTTCTTTCAGCAGGTGCAGGATCCCTGCGGGGTGGTGGCAGGGCAGCTGGACAGAGGGATCCCCTGAGGGCAGGGGAGATTTCCTGAACATCTCCCCAGTGGTCTTACCCCATCCTGCTCAGCTSAGAGGGATCCTCATCTGCACTGGCTTATACAGGGAAAAATGACAAACTTTTTGGATTTGATGAAAAGAAAAATCAATGGACATTTATATGAGTTGAGCTGTCAATCAATAAGTTGATTTTTCCATACTTGAAATCATGGAGTGTATGAATGAACTCTTACTTCTTGTTAACTTTTAGTTTAGTGTCTTAGTTCTTTTTTGGCTTAGTTTAAGTGTCACTTAAAAAAGATAGTGACTTTTAACGCATGCAGATGCTGTGTCTCTGTGAGGAGCAGAGTTGGCAGTTTGTGCTCCTGACTTCTCCCTTTCAGCCAGGGATGGTCTCCAGTCTCTGAGGAGCTCATCCCCCATGTGTGGCGTGGCCAGCAAGGTGCCCCAGTGGYGTGGGAGTGGAGCCAGTGACTACTGCAGGATGGCAGGAATTGACAGGCTTGTCTTCCTTCCTCACCAGGGAAAAACGTATTAATAATGAAAAACAGCTGGAGCTTTAAATAATTGTTTGGAAGCATGAAAAAAAAAAAAAAAAAAGAAATGGAATGTATTCTATGGTTTGATGGGTTTTACAGTCTCCATTTAACTCTGCCACTTCCAGTGGGTTGGCAGAGCCAAGCTGGGCTTTCTACAGCTGCAGTGGGCACAGCCTGGGCTCCCCACACTGCACCAGTGGAGACCCCCTCTCGTGAGCCCTGTCCCCGAGGGTCCTGCTCACACTGACCCCAGCCCACTGCCCCCTGTGCTGATGGCAGCACTCTGGGSCATCCCAGGGCCCTACGCCAGGATTGCCCAGTCCTGACCCAGGACAGGTTGCATGGCCCCATGGGGTGGCTCCTCCTCTCCTGCTGCTGAGCTGCCYCAGCTGTCTTTGCCTCCATGCTGTGCCTGGTCTGGGCTGGGCTGTGGTGGCTTGGGCAAGATGATTTGCCCCTCTGTGCCACATGGAGCGTGCTCAGGCATTTTGGGGATGAGGACATGGCCTGAGCTGGGAAATGCTGACACCAAAGCTGCCCTATCTGCCGAAACCCCAAATGCAGCCTTAGCCTTGACTGGTGTCCAGCTGCTCCTGGTCCCTGATGGTGCCATCCCAATTCCYGCAGTGCTCTCCTGGAGAGAGCACTCCTGGAGTCCTCTGCCCAYGGGACCTGCTGGGCTGGTGGATCTGGGGTGGTACTGGCTGGGAAGGTGCCAGCAGGGAGGCTCAGGATATGCCAGTGCCACCCACAGTGTGCACAGGATGTGACAGAGAGCTCCAGGTGATGTTCCAAAGGAAACCCCCTGGGCAGAAGGGAAGGACAGGCTGTAGGACAGGATCGGGGCTGAGCCATTAATCTGAATTCCAGATGGTTTTGGATGGCGAAGCCTGCAAGCCTTGGAAGGGAAGCCCTGCAGGAGGCAGAAGCCCCAGTCCTCCCTGAATACCACCTTGAAGGGSCCAGGCTCAGTTCTGCCTGCTGTGGTCTCTCTCCCTTCTCTTCCCCAGTTCCAAACTCCCAGCAAAATCCTCCCCTGCGCCCAAGGCCATCCCGGCTCGGGAGGCTGCACTCCTCCCACAGGACTCAGGCTTCCTGAGGAGACACCATGCCCTGATTAATTACAAAGAGATGTCGCTGGATATTGATATCAATACATCTCTGCCTCCTGAGAGCAGTCAATATTGATATCAATACATCTCTGCCTCCTGAGAGCAGTCAATATTTGAAGCAGAAACCTCCCTGGTGTTCCTGAGAGCCTTCAGCCCAGGAGTGCCTTGCTATAAAGCACCACTGCCTTGTACTCACTGGGCTCCAGAGAAACTCAAACTGCCTCAGGTATCAAAATAAAGAGGGAAATGAAATAAATGTAAATCAATAGCATGTAATGATGGTCTAGTGTGCACAGGAGGAGAAGGGCCGGGGTTGGGCTGGGTCYGGGTGCTGGCAAGGCAGAGGGGCAGGGAGGAAACACTGCAGGGCTGGGGGATGAGTGGGAAGGGAGGRAAAGAGAAGATTTTGGAGGGGCAGGGGCAGAAAGGATGGCAGGGTAGGAGCAGGGGAGAGCAGMTTTCTCCCAGCCTGGTTTCCCCCTACCTGGGGTGGCCACTCGTTTCTGTACGGCAGAGTTCATTGTTCCCTGCTCCTGTGGGGCTGCCACAGGTCCTAATCCTGTGTGTCCTGCCTGCCCTGGGATCCCTTCCCTTGCTGCCCAGGGAAATGTGAGGTGCATCCCTGCTGCTGGGCATGTCCTGGTGCCCACCATGCTGTTTCAGGCCTCCTCTGTCAGCTGCTTTCCCTCTGAGATGGATTAAACTGTTTYCTTACATTTCAATTACCCTCTGCAATCCTTGGCACTTTTGTGAGATATGGGGTCGGGTAAGGGAAAAGTCCAGCAAGATCTTCCCTGCCATCTTTTTGATTTGGAAGGATGTAAAAAGCCTGAAACTAAATCTCCCAAATCCATGACCCTGCAGCTCACAGACTGGGCAAGGGCTGTCTCCTGGCACAGCTGCCCAGTGTCCCCACTGTGCCACCCTGCCCTGAGCCAGGCACTCCCAGGGCTGGTCAGCCCCCACYACAGAGGGGGCATCAGGGTCATTGCAGGAGAAACCCTGCAGAGGGTCACAGCCGGGGTGAGGACAGGTCCCCATAGCCCATGGRAAGGGGCTGGTATCACCCCATAACATCCCTTCCCCTCAGCCTGTTTGCTCAGGGCTGCCCTTCCTCTTCCCAGTGGCTTTGCTGGTGCTCAGAGAACTTGAAAGTGAAGGGGCTGAAGTGACCTAACCTGATTTATAGCACCTTTGTGTGTCCCAGACCCCAGCCAGAGGCAGCTTCCCCTTGAGCCTGGTTCACAGGCTGCACCCAACCCTGGAGCAGCACCTCTGGCGGCTGCAGACAGCAGGCAGGACTGCTGGAGGTGACACAGTGCGACACAGGTGTCACAGTGTGACACATGGTAGATGCCCATGGGAACAGGCTCCTGCAGAGCTAGTGAGTGCTGTGCTGGGGGCTCATGTCACCCTCCACAAGCAGCTCAGTGCTGCCTCCCTGCCTTTCCTCTGCCCTTGGCACACATCTGCCACACAAGGATTTCCTGTCCCCTCCATGGCSACCCAGCCCTGTTGACACAGCCATGGCTGCCATGGCTGAGCGATGCCTTGATCCAGAAATGGGCACTTGAAGAGCTCCCCAAGTGGTGCTGAGGCCCTGGYACAGGTTGCCCAGAGAAGCTGTGGCTGCCCCTGGATCCCTGGAAGAGTCCCAGGCCAGGTTGGATGGAGCTCGGAGCACCCTGGGACAGTGGAAGGTGTCCCTGCCCTTGGCAGGGTTGGCACTRGATGATCTTTAAGGTCCCTCCAACCCACACCATTCCAGGATGCTCTGGTTCCCTGATTCCTGGTACTACTGAGGCAGGACTGGCCAGGAAGGGCCAGGAGGCACCTGGGTGATGCTCAGGAGAGGCTGGCAGCACCTCGGGAGAAGGAGCAGCCTGTAACGCACTACTGCCCGGGGCACACGGCCTCCAGCACTGACAGGGTTCAGGGCACCCTTTGGACTCAGCGGCTCCTGCCCTCTGCCCACTGGCTCCTCCAGGGCTCCCTGTCCCCCAGGCTCCCACACAAAGCATGGCCCAGCCACCCAGGCTGGCTGCAAACACCGAGGTCTTTTTATATCTGGAACCAGCGGCACGGTAATAATGGGCTGCAGTCGGGAGAGATGATTCGCAGCCTGCAGGGGGAAAATGCCTCTGCTGCCGCTGCTGCGAGGAGCTGGAAGGATCTGTGCACTGTTCTGCAGGTGACGTGGGCCTGCCCACACGCTCCGAGCCCAACGCTCCCGGAATTAGCAGAACTGTGGATGTGGCGCTGGGCGCGGGGGGCGCTGGCTGCCAGAGCCCGGCATTAATGATGATTCAGAGTTCACAATCTGATCGGGATGGATAAAAATAGCTGGCTTCTGCTCGGAACGATTCATTACACAACAGACCCTCCTCCCACTGCACTGCTCCAGGGTCGCTCCCTTTGCTGGCCAGCAGCTCCGTTTTCAGGGACGGACAGGAGGTAGCAGTGCCCATCCCAGGAGGAGACAGGGGCTCATTGATGCTCCCCATGTGACAGTGCTACCAGGAGAGCTGGGCACTCTCCACACAGCGAGGCAGGGGACAGTGGCTTCCAGTAAGCCAAGCGAGCCATCTATTTGGGATCTCTCCTCAGACGATAGGGGTTCCTTGACAGGGCCCGTGTGCCCCTTGCCTCAGGGTGTCCCAGGTGCTCACCCAGCCCATGCCCACCGCCCTGCCAGGCAGCCATGGCCAGGCAAAGCACACCCAGTGCCTGCTCCAGASTCTGATCCCTCAGCTGCAGCCCTGGGGAAGGATTTCCCCACATCTCTCCTCATGTGGGAATACATGCCTGGTGCCCTTAGAGTGTGGGATCCACACACAGCTCGCAAGGCCCAACAGCAGCTTGGTTCTGTGGTCTCCTGCTTGTTCTTCAGGCCAAGGGGTGTCTCTGCCCACTGGTGCACACTGGGGTGATGAGAAGGTAGAGGATCTGACTGGCACCATCCCAAAATGACACAGAATAATTTATCTTACCTTAAATGCTCTAAATACTGAGGTTTTTGTTCTTTTTTTTTTAATCTACCATCAAAACCATATCCTGTGGAAGTTGAAGGCTGTGATATGACAGAGATTTTTGACTTCAGGTGCTGTTTAATCTGGAGGAGCAGATGAACTCCTGAGAGAGACAGAGAACTTATTTCCATGCAGGTGTCACTGGTAATATAATCAAGTCTCCAGGGAGCAAAACCCCAGAAATTCTGCAACCTATTTGTCTGTCCCTAAATAGAAGTTGCTCAAAGTTCTCCATGAGACAGGATTTGCTCTGAATCGGGAAATGCAAAGCATTAAGTAGGTCAAATGAGACAAATGAGACAGATAAGAAAGGGAATTTTCAGGAAGAGAGCAGGACAGCTGATGAGGTGGCTGGAGTGAAAGACCAGGGCAGGGAGCTGGATTGTCTTTGAAAGCCACCGGCAGCCTCTGCTGCCTTGCAGAGCACTTGGGGCACAGGAACACATGGGGCATGTTGCAGCTTGGCTGGAAAAGCAGCTAATGAGAACATTCTGGCCCAAAGCTGACCTGGTCTGGCCAGTGCTGTTCAAGGGGTCTGGAGGGGGTGAGGGAGCATCTGCATTGCCCCCATGGAGTCAGTGAGRGTTACAAAGCCCTGGATGCAAAGCCCTTGCCCTGCCCCTGCCCTAACTACCAGGGACGGAGGTACCCACCCTTGCACAAAAACCTGTGACCCACACAAAGGCACAGACCCTGCCTGGCCTCCTGTGCTACCACCCTGCCCAAACCCTAGTGGGTCCTCCTGCCTCTCTGTGCTGCCAGARCAAGCAGCAGCCCCAGGACCATGGCACCAGTGCCCCTTCCAGACCACAGGAACCATGCTGAGAAGGAGGAGGAGGGTCAGCCTGGAGGAGACTGAGGTCAAACTTTGTTGGAGAAGACTCCATGAGGAGAAGATGCTGAGCTCTGCTTTGTATGACTGGTGGCAGGACCCAGTGAAGGGCTGGAGCTGTGCCAGGGCAGGCTCAGGCTGGATCTCAGGCAAAGGCTCTTCCCCCAGAGAGTGCTGGGCACTGCCCAGGCTCCCCAGGGAATGGTCCCAGCCCCGAGGCTGCCAGAGCTCCAGCAGCGTTTGGATAGTACTGCCAGGGATGCACAGGGTGGGCTTGTTGGGGGGTCTGTGCAGGACCAGAGCTGGATCAATGATCCTGTGGGACCCTTCCASCTCAGCATCTTTCATGATTCTGTCTCCTCACCCTCGATGTTTGTGACAGAGTAGAGAAGGGCTGTGACTGTCACTGAGCACCACTAGTACTCTRCAGCTGTGCAGGGACGCTGCTTTGCTCCAGGGTAGATGTTCCCACTGCCTAAATGTCCACACAGAGCCAGGCAGGGCCCTRCCTGCATTTGGGATGCAGGATAGAGATGCTCTTTGCCACTGGCTTTGCTCAGTGCCTCAAACAAAGCAGCTCCTAATGTCCGAGGGTCCCAGGGCRAAGGGGAGCAGGTAGGAAAAGCCAGCAGCTCCCTCTGCCATCCCCTCAGAGCCCAGGCTGGGCCCGTGTGCGGCTCCCGCGTGCTCCGAGCTTGGGAACACTTCCTTTGTCTCAAAGTGGGTCAGGCGGAGGCGTGACGTTACTATAGCAATGGGCAGGAGATTTCATAACTTTATTTTGCGAAGGGCGTGTTGCAGGATTGGCCAGGATTCGGAGGGAGGGCTGTAACTGAATCACCCTCCAGCTCTCCTTCCCCAGCCTGCTCCTGCAGGAGCTCCGCTGCCCCTTGGCAACGAGCACGGAGAGCCAGGTCTGTCCCCCCACCCCCCTCAGGGGTCCCAAAGCCACCCCTGGGCCATCCTGTACCTGTCACAGCTCGCTGGGCTCGGGGCCTAGGGCAGACTCAGCATCCTGGGCACCGTGTGTCCCTCTGGGCTCCAGGGCTGTCCCTCATGAAGACCTGCAGGGCAGAGAGAGAAAAGGGGACATGTGCTCAGGTCACAGTGATCAAAGAGGCACCATCCTGACCAACGTCCCAGGCCACAACCCGGGCACTGCAAACACTCGAGAGCCCTGCCTGATGGCCAGGCCTTGCCCAGCAAAGGGCACAGCAAGGCAGAGGCAGTGCCCACAGCACAGGGAAAGATGGGTCCTGTGCAAGTGGGTCCTGTGTCCCTCTGGGCATCACATGGGTTGAGAGGATGAGCTGGAGATCAGCCAGGTGAGGAGAAGAACATCCAAAATGCTCCTTGTTTGGGGGCTTGGGGCTGAGCCCCTTTATGGGAAAGTGTTCCTTGTCTTCCCTTTCCTTGTCTCTTTGTCCTGGAATAATGCCCCTGCAGTCCGTGGCCATGCCAGGAGCCACTGACCTGGGCAGGAGGGACCCTGTCACCCTCTGGGCTGTCCCCTTTGGGACCGAGCCCAGGGAGGCAGGAAGGACAATCCTGGGGTGGCAGATGGCAACCCGTGTGTCCCCCTGGCTGTGTCCCAGCAAAGCACCTGCCAGAAGCTGCTCTGGCTCTCACCTGCTAGTGCTGCTCACTGCAGCTCCCACCCAACCTCTCCCATCTGGGCACTAGGTGCTACTGTGCTGCAGCTACAGCCTGGGGCTTCCTCCTTCCGTGCCATCCACCCATGCTGCAAACCACTGGAAAAATGCTCCCTCTGGGAAAAAACAGGTAAATAAATATGGGAAAAAAACCCCAGTGTGTCCTCAAAATCCTACACAGCACACAGCTAACACAGCCTGAGTTGCCTAATCAGTGACATTAAATACTAATTGGGGTTTGCATTGATGAACATGCCAGGGTGGTTTGTGTGTACACACAGCCTGTCTGTCTTGTACTGGGAGCTGCTGGGGCAAACTGGGCAGCTCCTGCYGCAGGGAAGCAGGAGGTGGGAATGGTATGGGAACCAGAGGAGGTGTCAGCCTTCCAAGGTCAGTTTGTTCATTCCTGGTTGAATGGAGGAGGGTTTGAGAAGGCCCATGAGAGCTCAAAGAGGGGTGAAAATAGGTGAACCCCAGTTTCTTGGCTCAGATGGAAGGCTGGGACAAGGATACAAACCTTGGCAATTTTTTTAGGACAGCCAGATCCAGGTGCTGGGCTTAACTCTCAGTGTCAACCCTGGTGACGCAGAAGAGAATCAAACTTGTGCCAAGAGATGAGGCAGCAGCTCTTTGTCCCCAGAATGAAGATGGGCACTGCAGTGCCCCGAAGACCCCACCCTGCTACCACCCAGCAAGCGGGGCTTTATCCCCAGATTAACTCCTGCCTAGGGGATTATACACTTCCCGGTTGCCTGGCTATGGCAGCGGCACTGTGCTCTCCTCAGCACACCCAGCAGCCCTCCCAGAACCTGTCCCAGATGGAAGAGATGGAGAGGCACCAGGCAGGCAGAGAATAAGGRCACTGAGTTCACTCTGAGGCCCTCATGAGGGGTATCCCAAAGGACAGAAGGATGGAAAGCCTGGGAAGATCAGCAGAGTGGCCTCCTAAACTGGGTACAAACCCTCATCTCCTTCCCACTAACTCCATCCCCYATCACTGCAAAGGTTCGTCTGTCACATCTGTCCCCAGAGCTCACCTGCCTTCTACAGCCTTCTACCACTCCTTCCCTGAGCTCCTTGCTGCTGCTGGCAGCTGGGCTGTGAAGCCAGAGCCCAGGGCTGAGCCAGGGGTGCAGAAATGTGACCCCACCCAGCCTGGGCGGCCTCTGTCCTGGACATCAGCTTTCCCAGGCCAAGGACACCTCTCTGGCCCAAACCTGGGCATTCCTGGCGTCAGGGATGTTTGGAGGTCACAGGTCACTTCCAGCAGCCCACTGGTGCCAGCAGTGAGTGCATCACTATGTGACTGTGCCAGGACTGTGTGGCAGGGCCAGGTGGCACCAACTTCACGGCACAGTCACTGTGGCAGTGGCACCACCCGGCCCTCTTGCAGCTCTCGCCATGGGAAAGGGAATTCCACCTACTGTCAGATAGGGTGGGTTTGAGCCCATGATCCAGGCAGCAGAGCCACCAGCACAGCCAGGATCCATGGCCAGAGCTCCCTCCTTTCCAACTCCCATCCACCCACCCATCTCTGTCACCCGCTGTCACTGTCCTGCTCTAATGCCACCAGTGCTGGGATGCAGGACAGTGCCCTATACCACTGGAGCCACTGAGGGCCACCATGGAAATCAGCAGCATCCAGAAATTCCCCTAGCACCCTCGTGGCTGCACAGGCAGTCCCACGAGCACCCAGAATCCTGAAGCGCCACCATAAGCTGCTAGGATGGAAGCACCTGTGCAGTGCTGACTTCACCCATTATGGTGTCTGTCACCATCAACCTCAGGGTGCCCCAGGCCCCCAGGAAAAGCCCAATTCTGGCACCTCCCAGCATATAYGATGTGTGGGAGGAGCAGTGCCTGGGTGCCCCCTCACCCAGCAGGTTCCTCCAACCCAATGAGGCCACTGGAGCTCTTCAAGAAGAAGAATGTTGGTGTATAATATTGCATTTCCCTTTGCATGCTGCTCTTGCACTGAGTGAATGGTGCCATAATTGCTTTTAATTAATATCAGCATCAGTGCCCAAGGAAATGCAAATGAACAATTGTGCCACCAGCACAACCACTCGATGTTAGCGACCAGCCAGACACCTCCATCATCCCTCTCCTCTCCATCAGACACCTCCATTGCCCCCATTCCTCCACCCAGACACCTCCATAGCCCCTGTTCTCCATCAGACACCTCCATTACTCCTGTTCCTCCATCCAGACACATCCATCATCCCTCTCCTCCTCCATCTCAGGAGCAGGATGCTCATGGCTGCAGTGTGAGGGGGTGGGATGAAAGCCAATGCCTGGAAGGACAGGAGAGGTGCTGTCAGCTCAGGGAAGGGCACTGAACACCAAGGGGAGATGGCGAGCAGGGGCCAAGATAGTGCCCTGTTTTTCCAGGCAATGAGAGCACAGGATGCCAGAAGAAGCAGCCAAGGGCGCATCCAGGACCTCCTGTTCCCGGCTCAGGGGTGTCTTGCTGATGAACTGATGTCYGTTCAAGCCAGTTCTGGTGAATGGGGTCTCATGCTCTGCAGCCAAGCCTCACTGGAGAATCAGCTGGTGACCATTGCCCTCTTAGTCTGGGGGAGGAGCCCACAGCCTGCCCTGCTGGAGCCTAGGGGGGAGTCTRTGACTGGAGAAGGCCTTGAAGGGAYGGATCTGGTGCTCCTGATCCCACCTCAGAGGTGGCTGCAGGTCGGTGATGAAATCTGAAGCATCCAGTGCCTGCTGGGGCCTCCCAAGGAAGGCAATGAGGTTTCAGCCATGAGTGAGAAGAGGGAAGCACAGCAAGAGGGGCAGGGGCGTCCTTGCCCTCCTGCCACTCCAGAACCACATTGGTGGGGTCACAGCCGGAGCAGAGCCAGGCCAGGAGAGTTGGGGAGATGCAGGTGGTACTGGGATCTAATTCCAGGGAAAATCTTGTGCGATGTTACAGGCTCAAAGAGCAGCACTTCGGGCTGGTCTGTGTGAGAAGGGAGGTCCCTCACCTCCTGCTCCTTCCTGCTCCTCCTCCAGACTTGGAAGAGCCTCAGCAAACCACCCACGGCTGCTTTTGGTAAACCTGAGAGGAGATGAAGCCATCATTGCAGGGAACAAGCACAGTGGCCTGGCAGCCAGCCCAGTGCTGGATCCAGAGTTCGGGGAGAGGGCTGTGAGTTCCTGTGAGACGCTACGAGARTGGCAGGGATGTGGCAGGGATGGGGGACGAGCAGGTCTGGCACAGGGGCAGAGAGGAGAGGGCAAGGAGTAAAGCACATTCCACAGGCAGGTGCCCAGCGATGGCAGGAGCTGCTGAGCACAGGGTTCCTGCCTGCTGCTGTTGTCCCGTCCTGCTATCGCCCCTGCTGCTCTCCTCCCCAGCCTGAATCCCTCTGACACCGGGATTTACAGGCTGTATGATCTCACATGGACATTGCCAGTCCTKCTGAAACATAACATCACTGTGTGCAAAACCAGGCACAGAACTAATGACAATACATATATGTATGTGCTCTTGTACCGCTAGTCTCTGCACCATTTCTCTGGTTAAAATGAATGCATTTAGCTGATTTGGGCYGCCCAGAAAGAATCACCCGTTCTGWAGGGGGTGTTTGGGGGGTGAGTTGGGAACAGCACCTTCAGGGAAGGACAAAAGGCTGCTGTGGAGACAGGGGAGAGCACAGATGAGATATGGCTGACCATAAGAGATTTGTAGACAGGATGAAGATTCTTCTGAGGAGGCGTAAGAGGAAAAATCCGTGCATGAAAACACCAGAGGGAACAACGGAGCAAAGGTGGGAAGAGTGGGAAGTCCTGCTGAGCTGTGAGGAAGGTGCTCCTCTCTCCAAGCCCAGAAGGTTCCCACACAGATGCCTCGTCAGCAGGATCCTGCTGGGCCATGGGAGCAGAGAAACGAGGGCACGGCACGTGGCTCAGGCTTCTCCTCTTGGCTCTCTGACAGGAGAATGTCTTGAACACAAGGACAATGTCCCTGCCTAAGATGGAAGGTGAASTCAGCAAGAAGATGAGGCAAAAGATCTGCCCTCACGACTCCCAGAGGTCCAACCCCACATCACTGTCAGCTGAGAGCAACCTTGGGGACACAGTGGGGACCTCACAATGGCACCTCTTTAACTCCGTACACAGCAGGACCTGCTAGACCCAGGAGGCATCTCATAAAGGAGAAAGACTTTGGAGAGAGTGACTATGAGTGACTGAAATCTGTTTCACTTGAAAGAAACATCACCCTCCCTTCTGCTAAGATCTTATATATTAAATTTGCTGCCACCAATTTACTAAATAAACACAGAAACAACCTCTGCTCGACTGGTTCAGATTAGGTATTAGACAAAATTGTTTCACTGACAGAGTGATCAGGCACAGGGATAAGCTGCCCAGGGAGGAAGTGTGGAAGTGTTCCAGAGCTG